AGGAGTCAGCCTTTGCTCAGACATATTGCCCCTCCGCTCCACTTCCCCAAACTCAAAATGTTGGCAATTCCTCAACACAGAAATTCCAAACACGGAAAGGGGTTCAGCCACTGACAGCCAAAATAAATAACAAATGTCAGCTAGGTGAGACTCTCAGTGGGCTCGTGGCAAAAGTGGTATTTATCCCAATTTGAAACTCTTTCCTTCAACAAATATAGATGTAATATGTATATTTATTTTATAGATTTTTTATATTTAGTTTATGTTAACATAATTAATTATATAGTATATGATTTATTTCATATTATAATGTTTAATGGATCATGTTTGAAACTGTGCTATGTCCTAGGGACACAAAATGAGTGAAATGATGGTTGTCACTCCACAGGCCTTACTAACCAAGGCTAAAGCCAGACACTGGGCAAATAATCACAAAAATAAGGGTGTAATTATAAATTAATTATAAGTTATGGCCACTTCTAAGAAGAAATTATAAAGACAGGATTGCCCCATGATGATAGGAAGCTCTGAATTCAATTTGGGGAACGCTTTTCTGGGAAGTGGCATTTAAGCTAAGAACACTTATGAAGAACCAGAGGAAATGAATTAATTGGTTTAAAAAATAAAAAAGCAATGCAGTTCAGCTTTCTCACAAACTGCCCTTAGAGTCCTCCCAGGGGGTTCTCTGAAGATGAACCTCCAATGATAAATTGACCGGATGGCAGTCAAAGAGAGGAATCACAGGAGGAAAGCAGAGATTTACATTTATAGTTTTTAAAAAGGCTTCACCACCGATGTGAAAGAACAAAGCAAAACAAAATGCCTGCCAGTTATAAAAGGGACAGAGGAACTCGAGCCAGGGGTCAAGGGACCACTTAACACTCATCAAGGTAATTAGATTAACTTAATCTACCCAATTATGTATTCATTATAGCAATCTTGATTAAGCGTCCACTAGGCACCAAGCAGCGAGGCTCAGAAGCAAACAGGACGTGTAACACTTGAGTTCACCTACCTACGACTTGCAAAGAAGGACAAGGGTGTGGCTCAATAAAGTGAACGTATCAAGGGCTCTGAGGACCTATTGCAGAGGGACTTAAACTAGCCAGGGGCGATCAGGAAGGCTTTTTGGTGGAAATAAAGGAAATTAAGAGAAATCCAGATGCCCAAAGGATCTAGACACTGCTTGTAGACATGGAACTCATAGATAATCTATTTGTGCTAAATGAGTAAGTCTTGGGTACTAATCCATACAACATCATAATATTTGGAAAAATTAGTCTATGCTTCTGGTATTTTCTTCCTGTGACTCCACCGCCCTCCTCATCAAAGCAGAAGGAAGAGTGTTCACTGCATTGTGTGAAGGTTTTTTCAAGCAGAAATACCCAAAAATGTAAAACATTTATTTCTCAGCCTTGTGAGTTTTAAAATAGAAATCTGAAACTTACAGGAGGGAGAATATTTGAGAGAAAGGTGTTTTGAGTATACAAAAAATGACATTGAATACCCAGAGCCAGAAACATGAAGTGGACCGTTTAATTAATCTTACTCAATGGGAACAATTTTAGAGGGATGCACATGATTACAGGTTTCCCACCCTAGATAGGTAAAAGGGTCTACAGCTCGAAGGTGAGGGGACCTCAGAGGAGCTGGTAACTGACCTTAAGAAACTGCCTTGTTGCTACTCCATGGAGCAGAGCACCGGGGGCCAGGGATGGTGCTGAGGGAACAAGAGACCTGAATGCATTTGGGGATCTCAGAGCAAAAACTTATGCCTTGCTTCACAGGGTCCCAGCCAAGCTCCCAACATATTGATGATGAGTTGCAGTCAAAGGACAGGGAAGTAGCTGGAATTGCTGATGAACCTGAAGAGGGTTTCTGGTTGGAACAAAAAGGATGCAAAGGGACCCATGACAACTGGTGACTGAGACTGGGAAGAAACTTAAGTATCTCAGGAATATCAGGGGCAAAACATGACAGCAATCAAACCAGGAACCCCCATCCACTGGCACCATGGGGTTATAAAAGCCTCCTAGAATTTATACATAGCTCTGGGAGGACAAGGAAGACCCCAATTCAACCAAATTCATCCTGATTGTCTAATATTAAGTTTGTTTTACAAAGTTAAATGCAGGCAAATGAAAATGAGATGATACTGAGTCATAGAAACACAAAGAGAATTTTTCCTTGCGTGTTGGTCTTTATTTCTTGGGCTTTTTTTGCATTCCTCTGTTGGCAATCTGTGAAGTTTCAGCCGGGTACAAAAGTTTACAAAACCATCATTCTTAAAATATTAATTCAAGGGAAACTACAAAGCAGAAAGCTATTTGTAGGTGGGATGTCAGTTTTCCATGAATAAGACCAGACTAGCAAATTACAGGCCAGATAATAACCCAGCTGGAAATCATTAGAGTACCCAGAAAAGTAAATGATTTTGACCCCAGAATCCAAGGAGGTGACCTTTAAGTAATAAGCTTTTAGACCAGGCTATTCTAAAAGATCAGAAGCACCAAGTGAATAAGCAAACTGTCAATCCTGAGAGGTAGCTGAATGGAGAAAAAACTTCCTAAGACTATGAAAAGGTCCAGTGTGAGGTTGTTTTTACTTATTTTTACTCAGTAGGAAAAAAATCAAGACCAAAATTAAATGGTAATTGAAAACATTTTAAATTTAGCAAAGAAGATGCCAAAATAGAAAGTTGTGTTTATCAATGTGTGTTGAATTTTGATTTATGTTTTTTGCATAAGTGTTAATTATTAGAAGCGTTTTATATTCAGGTTATTTTAATATAAGTTTTATATATACAAATGAGATACAGACATATTGTATAATATATAACATATAATATGCCATAGACATTATATATAATATAATGTCATTTAGTATATGTCAGAAGAAGATGTGTATAAAATGAAATCATACATATAAATGCCTATACTTTTCATTTAACATCTCTGGTTAATCTGGACTGGGTGAGCCTTGCTATTTGACCTATACAGTCCAGTCTGTGTCAAGGAGACTGATAACCACAAAGCAAGTTAAATGGTGTGTGCCAAGTTTCACCTTGTATGCATAATGAGCTTTAGATTCACTCACTAAACAAATTACCCACTGTCCAGAATACACAAAGAACCAGCTGCTTAGGTATTTATAAAAGCTAGCTGTGGGTTGAATTAGGCAATTCAACTAACAGGAGCGCAGGTGATGAATAACACTCAGAGAAACTGGAGAACGCCTCATGGAAATAAGGATCTGGACTCATTGATCAAGACCATCAAAATGTCTTGAGGCTAACACCATTGGAGGCAGCAAGGGAGAGGAAGTCATATGACATCTCAGCAGCTTCCTGGTATGCCAAACTGCAGGACGACCAGGTAAATTCAAATCCACCTACCAGTGTGATGGACATCACATCCTTTGCCTGGACACACTTCCATAAAGTATTGAGAAGGAATATTTTTATTATTTTTGCATTCACCCTGTTCCTAGAGCAGTATCTGGTTCTGAGTAAGATTTGGGTTAAATGTAATCCAAATTTAACTTGGACTGATTTATTTGGATTAATATTTTTTTTAAGTCACAGATAAAAGCTAAAAAGAGAGCTAGAAATGAGCTTAATTCATGACCTTGGATTTTATAGAATGTTTTTTCTTGGGTTTTTGTCCAGGTAGAACTGCTCTATTATTAGATTATGAGTATAGATTTAGAGTACTGAAGACTTCCTTGGAGCTTTCTTTTACTCAGCATAAGGTCAACTGGAACCATCAAGACTCTGTAGCTCACCCTGTACAACCAAGAGATCCTTGTACCATCTCAAAACATCTGCACTGTGCAGAGAGGAATATTACTAGAACGAAGGCCCTGACTTACTAGAAGTGATCTCAGGTCTGAAGGGAACTGTTACTATAGGTCCTGAGACAAGTGGTCTTCAAAGTAGGAAGTAGCGTGAAGGTGGGATATCAATGGTATGATTGATTTAGATACCAGAAGGAATGGTTAGAACATCGATCTACATTTTTTCTTTTTAATCTTTAAAAGTAAAGTAGAAGTTAGGGCATGCGAATATTAATATTAGGAAACAGTTTGATGGTATTAGCTGCATGTCACTTATGTTGAGGTATACCCTGGAAAAATTTTTTTTTTTCAATGTAAGGGTAAGACAAGATGATGGTGGAAAGACCACTGTCTCAGACTTTCCCAGAATTTCTAAAAGTTACAAGAGAATGAAGGAACTACAGTTTATTTAACACCTTCTATGCACCAAATGATAGAATAACATATTTTATCTCATCGAATCTCCACCACAATCCAAGGAGATAGATGTTACTATTCTTGTTGCACAAGTGAGAAAAATAGAGATTCAAAGAAGTTCAGTATCTAGGTCTGGATCACAAACTGGCAAGTGTTGGTGGATGGAATGAGAACCCTAGTCTATTCTCAAATTGTGTGTTCCTTTCCTCACATAACGGTCTCTAAGGAGCTGTAAATTCTGAAACTAGCATTGACCAAGGAACTCGACCCTGCAGAAACTTCTCTCGTATTAAGACAAGTTTCCCATAGGATAGTAGATGTGGTAAGCTCTTACTCTGTAACGTAGCTGACAGAATGTTCCTAACCACACCCACCAAAGTCCATACAAAACAGTACAAATACTGTGAGGCATTTTATGATGCATAAAAGTTACTATTTTTATGACTTAAATAATTTTTGAGAACCAAGAATATCTTATTCAATAGAGAGAATAAGCTTCCAGTAGATCCACCATACAAATTCAGTAGATATTAAAAGTGTGTGTGTGTGTGTGTGTGTGTGTGTGTAAATGAGAGAGAGAAACAGTGAAAAGAAATATTACAAAGGTTTAGATAAATAATAGCAAAGCGCAGAAATACATAAAGAATAGAGATTCGAAGTTCACCCAGTCCCCAATATTCCCTATCCTCTTTGCCCTATGAGGTTTTAATTGATTAGAAAACCCCTCTGTAAATTATTACTGTAATTACCTTGGTCAGTTTCATTTCCAGCACATGGCTGCTATGTATCCGACTGTCGAAATGAGCTACTTCTTTAGAGGAGGACTTAACCTTAGCAATGATCTTCACATAGGAGAACACGATCACAGCCGTTGGGAGTAAGAGGCAGAAGAAGAGGATGTTCAGGATGAAAATCTGGCCACCCACGGAGGCCTGGGCCAGCCACCAGTCCAGTGTGCACGAGGTTCCGAAGGGCTCAGGTGCGTAGTCCCCCAGACCTACCAAGGGCATGGTGGTCCAGAAGGAAGCATAGGCCCAGATGACTGCCAGGCAGATGTAGGCGTGCTTTCTTTTCAGCCAAACCCCTGGAGGTAGAAGAAAAGCATTACCGGGATGTAATCTGCCCTACACCCAAATACCTCCCCTCGATATGTCAAATTCCACATCCAAAGAGTTATTCCATTGGATTCTGGGAGAAGTGGTCAGACAACTGAATTCTGAGGGAGAGTGGAGTGAAGGGAGAAAAGTTCCAGAGCATGGGCCTTTTTCCAAGTGAATAAAATCAGAAGTGCTTTCATAGGGAAGGTTTCCATAGGCACGCAGGAGCCTTGGGAGGGGTAAGTGATAAGAGCTGAGGAAAGGGGACAGTAGAAAGAAGGATGCCAAAGACAATGAAGGAAGGATCTTAAGAAAGCATCCAGTATGACCTTTGAGATCCTATCCAATACAAGGCCAATTGGTAGAGCAGAACGACCAAGCCCCCAAAAGCATGTATTATTGGTTCATCCAAGGTGGATTCCTTTGGGGAAGGTGAGAACTGATGACACATTGCTTGCATCTTTCAATACCCTTCTCCCTAAAAGCTTTCATGCCTCTCATCTCATTCATCTTCCTAAACGCTTGTCAGTGGGGGTCAGTGGGCCACAACCATGACTGAGTGCTGAGATATTAAAGTGACTGACCCTGCTTCGTGGGAGCAGGTTTTGAATCTTCAAACATGACAAACACAGCAGTCAAGCTCACACAGCCATACCAAGAGAGGTAGAGAATCTAGGTAGGTTGCATCATGTTCTGCAAAAGTAATTCTGTGAAAATACTTTCAGGAAAACAAAAAATGAGGTCTAGGTTTTTCAGAACTAGTTTCCATCAACCAAAAGAGAATTCCAAGAAGAACTGGTGTAGTCATCTAAAAAAAGCTATAGAACACTAGTGATCACTTTCCAAAGTTTACCATAACCACCCAAGACAGGGAAGCCTGATCTAGTGCTACAGCCTGCTTGTGGAATTACCTCCATATTCCACTTATCATCTCAAAGAGAAAGGGCCAGAGAAGCAAATCCTTACTGCCTTGGTTTTAGAGTAGCAGACAAGAAATATCAGGACACAGTCAACAAAAGCCAAATGGACTCTTCAACACAGACACAAGGCCTGCTTCTGCTCAGAGCCATATGCAGTTTAGGAAGTCAGTAGGGTCTACTTCTTCTTGTTTCTAGTGTTTGACCTTCTTCATGTACCCTTTCTAGATGCCCACATTCTTAGCAGTAAAATGGAGGAAATAATAATACATTGCTTACAGGTTTTGATAAGGGTTCAAAGAAATAATGCAAGGCCTGATTTGCAAACTACAAAGGACTACATTAAAACAAATTTTTACTCCTATGTTTGTCTCAGCACTAACAAGAAATATAGATTGTATCTATGCTCTATGGTCTCTCTTTTTTTTTTTTTTCAAATACATGGCATTTTGTATCAGAAAATTCCAATTTCTCAAGCCCAACCAGAGAGAGGTAACAATCATGTAGCCACAATAGATATCAGCTCCTGATTATCCATTATAACGGATAAAACATTGGCACGGATAATCACATATATTTAGGGGAATGTGCATACGCATACGTATAAGCATTTATGGTTAGGGTTACTTGGTGAGGTGTTGTATACTTACATTCGAGTATGGTGAAATGCTGTCAAGTACAGGAGGGAGTAGATTAGTAGATTGGTTCTGTGTTGCTCCAGAAGTCAGAACTAGGACCAATGGGTGGAGGTTACTGGGAGGCAGTTTTGTCTCAATATAAGGAATAACATTGTAACAATGAGAGCAGACCAATCAGAGCATGGGCTGCCTTGTACAGTAGTAAGCTCCCCGTCACTGGTCACTGGAATTATTCAAGAAGAGGCCAACTGGCCGTCTGTCAGGGATGCCTTAAAACAATTTATCACATTAATGGGAGAAAGGTCTCCATGTTCCCAAGCGGTCTTCTAATTCCAACATTTTAAGACACTGTGTAGAGGGTTGAATCATGAGTCAAATCAAATGGTGAAACCATTCTACTGAGGTTCAATCTTAAAAGAAGATGGAAATATATATACAGTTCCCGTAGAGAGTGATGCCCCACAGCGATTCTGGGGGTGGGCAGTATCACCTCTTTAATGGACACCAAGCCTAAATTCAAGGCAATATTTAAAAATCAGTGACATCAAGGTATTCCTCAAATATCCCCAGGAAGCTGAAATTCTGCCTTCTCATCTATAAAATCTACATTTATGATCTACTTGATGTGACCAAAAATAAGTTGGTAGTAAGTATAGGACTCTGAAGTCATCCAGGATATACATAACTGAATATTTTTTTATATTTTTGGAAATTCTGATTTCAGTTATTTCCATTGGAAGTGTTAAGCTGTTTAGAAAAAGAGATGCAAATTTAAAAAGAAAAAAAATGAGTGCTAGTTTGCGAAGATGATAGTCCATGACCTTACCCTCTCCTGCATGGTTTCCTTGGAGTCTGGGACTATAAACTTTTAAATATAAAGGAAAAGGGATGTCTGGGTGTCTCTATCAGTTAAGCATCTGCCTTCAGCTCAGGTCATGCTCCTGGGGTCCTGGGGTCCTGGGATTGAGCCCCACATCAGACTCCCTGCTCAGTGGAGGGTCTGCTTCTCCCTTTCTCTCTGTCCCTCCCCCTGCTGGTACTCTCTTGCTCTCTCTCTCAAATAAATAAATGGAATTTTTTTTTAAAAAAAAATGCTTTAAAATATAAAGGAAAATTCCACCACATTGAGAGTATGAAGTTGACTTGATGCTTCCCACCTCAGGCTCCAGGCCATCCTCCATCTCCACGGTCACAACTGTTCTGATTGATAGATTAACAAACAGAGCAGCGTTTTCCAGAGGGAGCGGATACTTTTCCCTGGGCGCACCTGGTTCTCAGTATGAAACAGAGGGACCCAAAGTCTTCTCTTTGGGATTCAGTAAGTTCCCAAAACCCCAAGAAACAAATGTAATCAAAGTTTATTTTTAACATGTTGTTATTATAAAACAAAAAAAAAACCTTGAGCCTGAAAACTTTTTTATAGCTGGCTCTCCCCTCATCAATGCTTCTAGTTACTCATCTTCCTACCTACAATACTACAATGAGTGTGTTGACTGATATTTCTGCATGTGTCCTTTCTTGCCAGCACCTGCACGGCTCTCTAGCTTAGAGCTGGAATTTTTGGAATTCCTCACCTCTGAAATCACAGGGAACCTGAGGCCTAAAGGAGGATCAGAAACATCTTTGTTATAATTACACTTACCATGTGGGGAACAAGCTAAAATATCTGGGGCCTGACATCCTTTCAGTGCATCTTATTTCTTTGTTTGCATGGCAAAATATGGTAGAAGCTTACACAGATTATACAAGGAAATGATGCTTGCCAAAATCATTGTAGCCAAACACCAGACATTCCTATAAAAGTAGTATTAAAAGAAACCTACATCGACACAGGTTCAAATTTTTAAACTTAAGTTAGAACAAAATAGGCTCTAATTAGAAATACTCTTGGTCCTTAAGTTCTTAGCGATCTTTGTTCATTACCTCTCGGTGCAATATTTACAGTCTGGCAATCCACTAGTTTTGACTATCAGGGAATGAGAAGCCTTCATACTTACCATACGATAAATAGCAGATTTTCAGATACCGATCCAGGCTGACAGCAGTCATGGTGATGAGACTTCCACAGCCAAAGAAAAATCCAGCCCATCCGTACCAACGGCAGCCAATCCAGCCAAACACCCAGCGGTGACAGAAGCAAGAGATGATCGTGAACGGTTTGCCTACAACTAGAGCGCCAAGCAATTTGTCAAGGGAAATTCCCTCTAGTTAAAATTACGCACCTGCCTCAACTCACTGTTGAGTCATATTCTATTCAGACAAGACATAGCTATTTTAGTTAATGTTAGGTTTAATCTGATTGCAACCAGACCCAGATTTCTGGGATTTAAACTATTCCTCAAAACAATAAAACAAGACAAAGTCAGACAGGGAGACAAACCATAAGAGACTATTCATCATAAGAAATAAACTGAGGGTTGCTGGAGGGGAAGGGAGGTAGGAGGTGGGGGATGGGGTAATGGGGTGACGAACATTAAGGAGGGCACGTGATGTGATGAGCACTGGGTGTTATATAAGACTGACAAATCACTGGCCTCTACCTCTGAAACCAATAATACATTATATGTTAATTAATTTAATTTAAATTTAAAAATATTGAATTGGAAATAAATAAATGAGTAATGAATAATAAAAATAAACTATTCCTCAGCTTCTGTTAGTGTTTTTGTGTTTTTTACTTTCTAGAAAACATTCTTCTACTCTAATTCAAGCCCTGCACCCTTCATATTCAGCTATTATATTTAATCTTCACTCTCCTGGAAGGGAACACGCTGAGGAAGCTCTTCATGAGCTCTGTGATTGATCAATCTATCTATCTATCTATCATAAGGCTCCTTAAATTTATTTCCTTAGGAAAACCAAGGAACTGATACTCAGAGGTGCCAGCCCTGCCCCATCCCTCCTAGGTGTGTCCCTTCTTCAACAGACAGAGGTACAAGTTCCTATTAGTGCAGTCAGGTAACATGTATTTCTCAAGTGCCTTCTGTAAGCCAGACACACATCTCCCCTCATTTGTTTAGTTGTCTAGATAGCACGTTTCACACTCCATCTTGCTGGACTGTGCACCCCCCTATTAGGGCTCCTTAATCCCAGTGGCCTAGCCCGATTGTCAGTGAGGAAACTGAGTATAAAAGGACTATTTCTTATTCAGCAAATAATTATTCAGTGCCTCTTATGTAACAACCACAGAGCAAAGTGATAGAGGACAAAGTGGAAGTCGAGACTGACAAATGTATTTTATAGTAGAGGGTAGATAAGAGAAATATATAATTTATAATATAAAATATGATACTATGGCATGATAGTCATTAGTCCTGAGAGGAAAAATGAAGCAGAAGGAGATAGATAGTAATTGTTGTTTTATATAAGGGGATCAGGGAAGACCTCTGTGAGAATGTGACATCTAGGGAGATGTCTAAATCACCGGTAGAGATCACAAACAAATGTCTAGAGGGGAAATATTCTAGGCAGAGGAGACACAAACTCAAAGCTTGAGCTAAGTGTCAGCTGTGTGGGTGCTAAAAGCAGCAAGAGACAAGTGAAAGTGACTGGGATGGAGTGAAATTTGTGTCTGTTGTGCCTGGGACTATTTTAAGCTTCCTTCTGGAATGGAACCTTTGGTAAACCTTTGGAATGTCATTTAGAATGCCTCTCCCTTCTTCACTTAATAGAATGGTTCTGAACCCGGCTGCACACCAAAATCACTGGAAGAGTTGTTTTGTTCTCCTTTGTTTTTATTTTACTTTAAATATCAATTTCCAGGACTCTAACTTCCAGAAAATCTGATATAATTTATCTGGAACGAGCTCAGGCATCAATATATTGCAATATACTTTTTTTTTTAAGCTCCCCAGGTGATTCTAATACATATACATAATTGCAAGCTACTGGTATATAAACAACAAATATTAGATATATAGATGAAATACACCTGGTCTCTACCATGTACTTCAAGGTGCTTAAAATGGAATATAGTTGACCAAGAAAAAAAAAACAAAATAGACGAAAATGTTTAAGGTTTATTGGACTGGAAAATGTATTAGAGATACTCATAGTTGAGAAATGATCTGGGTTCATCAGCAAAAGCTATCACATGGAAGAAAATGCCTTCTTGCTGAATTACTCTGAAGACATAGGCAGAGTAAGGATGTGGTTTGTGCAACTCTAGAGCAGGTTTGCTTGGTGGAAAGCATTTTCAGTGTATCAGACCAACTAAAGACATTTTTATTCAAGCATAGACTAATTCAGCCTTAAACATGAACCTAGTATTATTCTCTGGTGAAGGATGTGGATGGAAATGGCAGGTTTCAGTCGAGCACTTTACGTTCAGTACCAGGGAGAGAGCCGTCCGGGCTCAGCCGGAAGAGGGGAACCCGGAAAGCAATTATTCATGTTGCGACACCACCATCGTGTGGCCATTTCTAAAATGGCAGTCGTTGTGCCGCCTTGCAAATTGCCTGCGGTTCCTTTCATCCCCGGAGGCCTGACACAATATGCTTCTCTTAATGTCAATGTGCATTTCCGATAGGAGCTCTTGATATTTAAGCCTGTCCATACTGAGTAAAGCCTCCCCAAGTAACGAAGACCACGCAGACCCTCAAGGGCAACACATCTGCTGGTGATAAACAGTGATTCCATAGGTAGAGGCTTCTTTATTGAGCCTTGTTTTTGGAGACTGGCATTGGCAGAAAAATCCACTTATAAAGGGAGAAACAAATGTCAAAAAACATTTTAAAAGAGACGTTTTAGATGGGAAACTGCTAAAAAGTTTCCAGTGGAAAGAGGAGTTGCTGTGCACTGTTCACACTCAGTTTCCCCAATTCTAGTAACTTAAGACCATACTCCAAACAACAGGATTTGGGATTCAAAGGCAAGTTTGATTGTATTTAGACAACCTTGGGACTTTATAGATGAAAGCAAAGGGAGGCTACTTATCCAAAATCATTTATATTTATAAAAATGAATTACAAGTAAAGAGAAATTTTATTCCAATTCCTCCTTGGCGGGGTTATCAGAGAAGCCAAAGAAGCAAGAAATAAACCAGTGGTTTCCAATTTTGCCTGCACATTAACTTACCTGATAATACCAACTTTAAATATCCTGATGCCCAGGTAATAGTCTCAACCAATTCAATAAACATTTCTGGGTATAAAACCCAGCCATGAAGTTTTTTGCTTTTCTGTTATTGTTTTGTTTTGTGCTTAAGTTCCCCAAGTGGCTTTTTTGTGCATCCAATACCAAGAACGACTGACCTGGAGGCTTCCTATGCTTGCAATTAGTCCTGAAGTCACACTTCAATGTACCAGCAGGTCAGCTCTCCCATCTTCCTAAACTCACCTCTCAGACTGTCTTTGCCCATCATTTAAGCTTCAAGACCTAGCCCCTTGGTGTTTATTTTAACGGAGTCCCCTGTGTGTGGCAGGGGTGTAAAGGAGCCCAACACTGTGATCTGTAAGTTTCTGTCTTCTCAGTCATTTAGCAGGTACACTTTGAGGCTCAGCATTAAAAGTTATCATTCATCATTCCAAATTGTCTCCTTGGTATCTAACATGCTCAGCACACAGAAAAGACTCAACGAATGGCAAATGGATGAGATCTTTAACCTGACGACACTCCGTTGGCTTACCACAACCTCTGTAAAGATGACTGGTGAAGGGAGGAGTGAAAGGAGGCAGGGGAGGGATGATCTCTGAGCCAGTGAGGACTTTAGAATGGAGCACAGCTCAAACCCCCCAAAGAAGAAATGGCTGCATTACCTGAAATGCCCAGATCACAGATTGCTAAATTGATAGTCATTATTTCCGCAGGTCTCAGCTTCTTCTTTCGTCTAGAAGACATATAAAGGACATACCCGTTTCCAAATGTGGACAGAATCCCTACAAGGAAAAATATAAATTCCCATCATCAGCACTAGGATTTGGAGTTCACTCTGATATGAAACACTTCTCAATTTCAAAAATGGACACCATAGATTTAGAGGGTAGTGAGAGGACTCTAAATAAAAAATCTAAATTAAGAAGATGAAGTAAAAAGCATGAGTTGCGAGTGACAGGCGAGGGATGGGTTGCCTCCAAAGGGATAGGAGTCAGGGATTATAAGACTGAACTTACCCAGAAAAAGGAACTGCTAACTTCCCAGTGAAGCTCAGGAGGGGTGGGAATCCCCATGGTCAGTTCTTGTACTGGCCCCCAGGATGGAGTATTTCCTCCGCCATTTTTACCGAATATTGGCTCTATAGAACTCCCTCCCTCTAAGAAGCAGGGTTAACCCCTTGGCTCTTGGTACACTCTGAAGCTGAAGTGACCCCAACCAGACAAGGTGCTTTTACTATCACTGTGGACTGCTGAGGGAGCACCAGCATTCAGGAGAGGTAGAGGCCAGATTGGGCTGGCATAACCCCCTGAGAGGAAAGGGTCATCTCCTGGAGACACATCCCAGGACATTTTGCCTCCTGAGGACACATGGACGCTGGGTGTCTGCAGCTACTACTGGACTAGGTATTAAGGGGAAGTAGGTGACAGTGGATAATATGGGCTCTCCCCTCCCACCAAAGGGAGAGAAAGTGACCCTCAACCCACCAACCTACGAATAGTGGTATAAATGTGTTCCCACTTTTTTATATCCTTTTATTAATGACTGATTGGCTTTGGCATTACAATGATACTGTTCAAAAGTTCTTACAAACCCAGTTTAAATCCAAAAAGACCCAATCCCTACTGACTTTATTTAAGAAAAGAATACACCTACTTCCATAGCTTAACATGTAGAGTAGATTTCTTCAGGAATTCTTGCTTCATAGTGTAGCTGTGTATAAATGAGAATCTGGTACAGCTGCCTTTAGTAGTAAGGAATAAGGAGAGTATTAACAGGAGAAACCCAGATTTTTCTATTTTAATTTCTACTTCTCCACCACAATTCATTTTGAGGGCAAGGAAAGAAATGTGTGTTTCGCCTGACGGTATGAAACCACCAGGAATGAACTGCATTGTGCTTTTAGGAAATTATGAGTCCCTGGGGTCAGTGCTGCCTAGTGGTCTGTTAAAACCTCTTTCGATTTCTTAAGACAGAAGAGGAAAAATAGAAGAGATCACGGAGTTCTAGAGCAAACCAACTAACATGAAACCTATGTCTCAGTAAAGGAAACAGCTAGCAAGGCACACTGGGAAATTCATGTGAAAACATGGCTTAAGGAATTTGAAACAAATGCCTTCTACTTTGTATTCAAGAAGTTTGAGAACAATGAGCATACATATGTAATTGATACACAAAGCTCCTTTAAATACCCTGTGTCTTCCTACTTCTCTTTCGAGAATATTGATTTTCTTACTCTTCCTTTCTTAAATTATCTTTATTATGTTTCATAAGGCTTTACCCAGTGCCCAAAGCATTATCAAAAATTAGTCAACTCTCTGTGAGCTGCCGGCAGATGATTCCCAGAGACAGTTGTAGGGGATTATCAAGAGAATGCAAACATTCTTGAAGATAGTTAAAGGAAAGCAAGATTAAGAAGCTAAAGGCTAAAGGCAGGGGTGGGGGTGGGAGGGACATTTTTTCGATTATCAAAATCCTGAATCTTTCTAGGAATACAAAACAATGAAACCTCACTTATAGACTGTTAATCAACCAAGTATCTATAGTAAAAGAGTTGAAGGGTGGCTATGGGTCTCTAATTTACTTCTCCTCTATTCCAAACTCAGATGTATCTTTTCATCCTCCAGTTTTCCCGAAGACTTCCAGTATTTAACAAAACTCCCCAAGAATATCATTCCACTCTGTTCCCTTAAAAAGATATCTGGGCATATCCCCATACCTATCCTAGGAGGGGTAAAACCCAGACATAGCACCAAGTCCAAGACTGGGTCTAGATGAATCCAAATCCCTCCAAAGGACCCTGGCCTCATCCTGAATGACCCTTTTGGAACATGTCTTTGGCTCCACCCCATCTCCATGTCACCTGATGTTCCCTTTGTGTGGGGACTCTTTGGGGACCTATTTTTCTAGCTTCACCTCAGCCATGCCCATTTGAATCTGACTCTGGATTTTCCTTCCATCCCCACATGCAACAAGGGAGCAATTTTCCTGATCCCCCTCCTCCCAGCCTCGTTGTCCCTCTTCCTGAGATCTCCCATGCCAGGGCGGGGGAATGGATGTGATCCCTCTCCCTCTTTTGTTTATCTGGAGTGCTCCTTTTTAACTCAATTCTTGCAACTGATTGAGACAAATTCAATTTATAAGATGTCAATTTTTCCGCTTTTTCTGATAATTGGAAGTACTTCTGTTAAATGAAAATGCAATGTGGGTTTTACTACCAGATAGACCCTGTGCAGAAAGAGACTTTGCCCATTTTGTTCACTGCTGTATTCCCAGAAACTTAAACAGTGGCAAAGAATGAGCATTCCATATACACTTGTGTTTGAAAAGACGCGAGAGTCCATTTATAAGAAATCGATTTTAAATCAGTGTCATAATTGCTAATCATAAAGCCAAGGACCCAAGGAATCCCTTTGCAGTGAAATTTCTGATTCAATCTCATCGATTCCTTTTGCCTCAAGCACTGACCATAGAGGTATCTCCAGACTTTTCTAATGATATTTGCTAATTTCAGGAGGTTACATGAAATTCTTAGCCCGTAATAAAGAGATGAAAGAGAGGGAAGGAGGGAGAGAGAAAAGGAGAAAGAAAGACAGGGAGAGAGGGAGAGAGAGAAAACTTGACCCAAATCTGAAAAGATTAAAGGCAGACACAGCTAAAGATATAACCCACCTGTGCACTGGTTACCCAAATTTAAAACAACAGGTTTAAATTTAAGAAGTTTTATGCTCAAATCCTAATCACCTAGACTAATGTTGTCCAATAGAACTACAACGTAAACCAGAAATGTGAGCCATACATATTTCAATTTTTTTCCAGTAGCCACATTAAACAAAGTAAACAGAACACTAAATTCATTTTAGTAATATATCTAGCCTTATACAGGCAAAATGTTACAGGTTTGACATGCAGTCAACTTGTTTTAATTAGTCATGAACTATCTCGCAATATTTTTGCTAGGGCTAAGTCTTCAGTGTCTCGCATATACTCACACTACAGCACCTCTTTTGGACAAGTCACTGTCCAAGTGCTCAGCAGCCACACGTGGCCATGGCATTGGAGAGCATAGTCTGGAAGCAGGTGCACCATGTTTTGGACGATGCACAAATTTTTGACCCTGGGATGACTCCCATTTCATTACCAGTATGTTTTTTCAACTCTCACCAAACTCACTTAGTAATGCCAACATAGAGCAACTCTCCTTTAGGTGCAGTAAACTTAGTGTGTCCGTTGTGACTACAGCCCGGGGACAGTTTCCTCAGTTGTGACAGGAGGAGGCTGAACTAGGTGATTTCTAAGGTCCGTTCTGAGCCTATCATCTTATGATTATATTAAAAGCATTTTTTTATGTAATATCACTCTATTTAAATAAGATATCATTATCATTAGTTTTGTGATTCAGAAGACAAACCTACTCTTAACGCAACCAATATAGTCCCAGGATAAATGATTTTGCTGTAAAACTTCTTTGATTTTTGAGGGAATAGCCATCACTAACAATAAAGATCACCAAGTCATTTCTATGAAACAGTCACTGAACCTTGCAATGCGGCCCCCATCTTCTACCTTCCTCCCACTCCCCACCCCCAGTCAAAACATCTATGTAAGGATGTGAATCCTTGTGCAAAATCAACATATTAGCCTCTGAATTTTCTAGCTGCAGCATTTGCACAGAAAAATTAAGGAAGCTTACCAATTATTGTTAAGTAAAAGCCAGCCACTAGATCCGCTTCCCAGGAAAGTTTGGAAGCAAAGGGGTCCCCTTCTCGGAGGTAGTGTGGCAGGTGCTCATCCTGGGGCAGGGCAGTGTGGTTTAGTGCCATGCTGTGCTCACTCGACCAGGAGTCTGGAAAGCAAACCAGTAGAGATGGCAACAGACCCAAATGAGCCAACTTGAACCAGCTCATAACCACGCCCCCCTCTTTTACAGTGAAAATGCAAGTTTCCAGGGTCATACTTGATTCCCTAATTAATAACTGGTGAGTATCTTCACACTTTTCTTCAATGACCCAAATGTGTGAGTATTCAACTATTCCGTGTGCAGACTGAGTATCCACGGCTACATTAAGTCATTTCTTTATCATGCTACTTACTCCCTTGTGTCACTTCACCCCTCCCTTGGGTGAATAAGACATTGAAGGCTACACCCCAACCACTCCAACTTGCTTAGCAAGTTTTACAAAGGGTTGAGCTAAGAGAAGATATTTATAGGGAATGTACATTGTATCTGTGTATCTATCTAGATCTCTGTATCTATACAGCTATATCTATATGTAAAGGGGAAGAGAGGGAAAACAATCCACCAATATTTAAAATATATCATAAATATATAAAATGCTTAATTTGCCAGAGTATGACATATTTTTAATTATCCAAATTGCCCAGAAGAGCACCTCTATTGGTTATATGTTCAGTGAGCATTAGAGGTTTTCCAAAAGAAGAGACAGAATCATTAGTTATTAGAGCACTGAATACAAAGGAACATAGATCTTCACTAAGTGAAGTTAAGAACTAGGAGATTTTAAAGGATATATTGAAATTTTTAGAAAAGAATTCAATCTTGGCTGTGACTCACAAGGCTCATGCACAGGAAGGTTTGGGTTGCAAGTTTTCCTAAAACAGAAAGCAATTTCATTATTTCCTACCACCACCCTTGCAAATCCATTTCCTAAATTCACTCAGCCCTACTCCAGGATAAAATCCTGAGTGATGAGGAACTCTTAAAACACACAGGACCTGGTAGTGTTTCTACTGAATTCGGATTTTAAAAGCCTTACAGAAGTCTTTGATGGGTCCCATAGAAACACACACACACACACACACACACACACACACACACATACACACTATATATATATATATATATATATATCACACCCTACCCCCAACACTAAAAGTTGACTGGTGTGTTGTTCCCAAGATAAAGCATACTGCTGATGTCATAACTTCCTCTGGAATGATTGTTAATTTTTTGCTTTGCAAGGGGTAGAAATACTAATCATGATCTATCACTTTTGAACTTGTTATTTCAAATTGAACCAATAGATGTCACTGTTCAGCCCTCTAGGAAGCCATTTGGGACAGAATCCATCAGCCTTCAGGTGGAACTTATGTCCTATGCCCCACAGTTGGTGACCCACTGATAAGCCGAAGTCTAAGGATGCCATTCAGCCTCTCTAAAAGACACAGATTTAACTTATTCCTAACTTCCAACTTACAGCTTAAACAGGACTTCTCAACCCACCCGTGACTTTCCTAGTGTCTAGTGGCTGAGGCATGGTCACCTTCCTCACACAGTTTGAGGATAGTCACATGGTTAATGTCCATTCAAAATCCTTCTTCCTGGGAGCTATAAGAAGTGGATCTGCCAGAAGGAGAAAGCTCTGGCTGCCAGCCTCCCTTCCTCCACCACCCGCCCGCTGCCATCTCAAGTGTTGCCCCAAGTCCAGATTTATCTTTAGAACTCCTAATTCCCTTTTGATTGTGCCTCCTTCTGGCAAATTCTCTCCCCACCACAGATTCCCCATTCCCACTGCCTGACCGGTCCTGTCCTCTACTTCAGCTTCAAAATCATAAGATGAGGGTTTGAGTCCTGCTCTAATACCCACCATCTGATCTGGAGCAGATCATTACAACTTTCTGGACCCTGGTCATTTCATCTATAAAGTGAGTAATATCATTCTTACCCACCATTCATGCTTCTTGTAGAAATAATATGACATTGGATGTGAAACATATTGCAAATGGGGAGTACCATTTGCTTATTACATCCTGGGGCAACTACTTTTCCCAAACTTGCCCATCCATGAATATATAACTATTGAATGACAAATTTCCTCTGGGGTCCTATGCCAAATAAATGTGTGCTTGGGTAATAACTGAAGTAATTATTGAATATCTACTATTAACCCAGGATAAGGTAGAATAAGAGATATGTATCATAGACTTACCTAGACTTAATGAGTATAACTATCATTTTGGACAGAAAAAAAAAAGATGCAATTAATGATCAGAAAATAATAATACAAGAATATAAAACAATAGAATGCTGACATATTTGGTTTTAAAGCAAGAAGACAATTATGTGATCTGAGAAATTAACCAGATGGGGAGTTTTAATGGGCAGGGAGAACCGCGGAGTATGTTTTCAGTAGGGGAATGACATAAGCAAGGATCTGGAGGCAAAACTGAACACAACACACCAAACGGACAGAAGCGATCTGCTTCACTGGAATAGAGCCCATGACGGTGAGAAGTGAGATCTACCTTGGCTTGGTGAAATGGGGTCTTGTTCTAGGGGGTCTAAAATGCCTAGCAGGGAAGCTACTTTTGATGTATCATATGTGGGCTTATTCTTTTCTGGATCCACTGACCAGAATCTGTATTATTCAAGTCTGGCAATAAAACATTTGCAGGTAGGTGTTTCCAATTCTTTTCAACAGTACAGCTTAGGTAGTTCCCTGAGGCAGAATGAGACAAAGTAGAAAGTCCTAGAAAGCAGGAAGTAGAAAATCCTAAACCTGCTGGTTATTCAGGGACTGTTCCTCATACACTGCAAGCTCATTTTCAGCTCTACACCTTGCACATGGGGTTCCCCCTACATGAAGCATCTGTTCCCTGTCTTCCTAGTCTTATTCAAATTCCACTTGACTGTCAGGTCCCTGTCCACCATCCACATCCTTCGGAAAGTCAATCAGGCTCCTTCAGTACCTGCTTGAGAAAGAGCCTCTCTTCTCTTCACTCCTTAAAGTTCCTTGAGAGGTACTTCATCATGCTTAAATTACTTAATTCTTCTTGCTTACCCACCGGGGTGTAAAATAACTTTCAGTCCTAAATGGAAAAGGTGGAGGCACCAATGCATAGAAACAGAACATCACGGGCAATGGGTTCATTCTCATTACCCTGAAGGGGTGTTGTTTCATCTCTGGAGTAGGATGAAAGCGGGATGCAGCAAAGGGACCGTCACAAGTGTTTCTACAGAACAACACTAACCGTACTACTTAAAATAATGAACGCAGCCCACAGTCTTGATTCTACTTGTTCAGAGATCCGCCTTAGGGAATTCCTTTTTAAGTACTGAGTGGGCCTGAGTGAGTTACTTCACTGCATAAATACGGTAAGTCTGTTTGGGTATATGCTTTCAGGTTTTACCTCCTGTGCTGAAAGAGTGCCTATGCCACTGGCTTCCCATTCCATCTTCCCGCGAGCTCAGAACCCCCACCGCCGTATCTCCCGGTCCCTGGAGAGCATCCGCGATCAAAACCAACGGTTCTCAGCCAGCTGCACATCTGAGTCATCTGCACGCTTTATACTTTTGCTTATTTTGTGTGTTTGCTGTTGGTTGGGTTCTAGCTGTTCTTTAAACACCGTGGTCTAAGGACAACCTCCAGACACTATGATAGCTATGGAAAGATCATTTCCAATAGAGTCCAGTATTACTCGGAGCCTACCAAATTCTGTAGAATTTGTGGAATTCTAAAAGAAAGTGGAAACTTTCTTTTCTGCCACAGTACCTCATGGGACTAGTGCTCGGAGAGACAGCATACCCAGAGAAATGCTGCGTTAGTAAGCTGCATTAAAGAATCAAGAATTAAAATAACATATTTGTGACTGAAGATCCTAAAAGTATATGGCATATGAGAAAGTCAGCTTTCAGTTGATATACAGAAGCTTTGGGGATGCTATGGAAATATTGCATAACACTGGAAGAACTATATTAAGACTCTAGTATTTCAGGGAAGATGCAAGAAAGTTGCAAGAGAAGCATCCTGTCTAACGGTGGAGAAAAAAAAAAAATGACCTCTCAAGATAGCCACTGAATTTATGATTCTCTGCAAAGATATAGAGTAACCTCTCGGTGTAAATTATATGTGATTATTCACATCATTCACATCAGCATAAGCCTTTAAGCAATAAAATATACTCTACTGCCCTCGCGTTTGCTAATTAATGGTCCTTTTGACCATGAATTATGCTATTAAGACTGTTCTCCTAAGCTTATTACAGAAAAATCTAAAAACATCCCCACTCCTCATCACTCATAAAAATTTTAAATATTTTGTGTTACTAAAATTCATCTGAAAAAAAAGTCCTTTATGATTCCACAATAAAAACTGAAAGGCAACAAATGGGCGCCTGGGTGGCTCAGTGGGTTAAGCCGCTGCCTTCGGCTCAGGTCATGATCTCAGGGTCCTGGGATCGAGTCCCGCATCGGGCTCTCTGCTCAGCAAGGAGCCTGCTTCCCTTCCTCTCTCTCTGCCTGCCTCTCTGCCTACTTGTGATCTGTCTGTAAAAAAAAAAAAAAAAAACTTTAAAAAAAAAAAAAAAAAAAAAAACCTGAAAGGCAACTAGAGGCATAGCCAGCCCCAAATCCTCATGACTAAACTGAACACACAAAACAGCTATTTAGCAGCTATGGGAGACAGAATGGCAAAGAAGCACCTCTGAAGAGGAAATAAACACAATAAATGAGTATTAAGGAGGTCAGGACAATCCTGTTCACTTTGTTCAGTCTTAGAGTTATCTTCAAAAAATGTTAGGCACTCAATTTTCCCTTTGATCTGCTGAGTTGTCTCTGGTGTCAGGCAGGAGTTAGCAAAAGGCCTGGGCATGAGGATGACTACTTATGCAAAATGTTTGGGAGTGTTCTGCCCAAAATGAGCCTCCCCACCTGCTTTTGGCCTCCTCTGGCCTCTGAGACTTTTGCCATTTTTTGCATTAAGGGATTACCACCCCAAGACATATTGCTAGATATGTATTACCTAAGAATAAAATATTTTAGTCTGTCATGCCCCATGAAAACTTTAACATGAAGGAGTTTATG